TGGGGTCACCTGTCTATAGTCGGAGAAGCTCGTTCGGGCAGAATCCGGGTACTAGTATGGGTTCTGGAAGACGGACGAGCATCGAAAGGGGAGCGAGGGTTGCGGAAACTGGGAGCCTCGTACGGAATCGCCGTGCGAGTATCGCGAGCAGTGGAATGCCTTTGACATCAGAGACCGTCATCGAGTCCCCTCCAGGGTCGTCTCCGTCGTCCGTGGTGGGTGTTGGCGACTGATATCTGATTATTTTTTTATTTGGGGCCATTTACTACCCCGGTATTCCTTGGTTTGTATCTTTCACCTACTCTCTCTCTATTTCTCTACTTTGCTTTCCCAGTATCCTACTTTACTATAACTTCGTAAATCTGTACATAGTACATCTATTGGCTGGAGTCCTGCACACCGAGATGTCGCACCGACAGAGCAAAACGGGGCTCACAACTAGATAGGCATGCTATGAAAATTTCGTAGCAAGACGCGCAAACTGAAAAGCACCACCTAATCTGCATCCACTGAAGCGACGCGTGGAAGACGCGAGACCAGAAACGTTGTTCTTGCAGAATCTAGATGTCCCAATTTGGCAGGCTCAAAATTGAAAAAGAGTACAATCGAGTACGGGATCAAACCCGACCCACAGGACTATCTGCTCCATGAAGGACTTGCATAATAACCGATGCACGAACGACGCAGCAAGAAACTGGCTTAAGTAAGGCGGTCTTCTCGTATCCTTCTGGGCCGACTCGGGAAAAGGCCCCTTTATCGATCGCTATTCGCTTTCTTCAAATCATAGTCAGGCTTGCCGCAGCACTACGAGCAAGCCAGTGAATATTGAATTACAGCTTGCCATCTATTGCCGAAGTCCCTGCGTTGATGCTCGGCCCACACTTAGAAAGTCGGGGGGCCAACACCGCGCCGCCCCTGCCCTCGAAACAGTGTCCCGGGTAACTGAGGGGTCCTGTTGAGCCGGCCCTGGTCTCCTCTCGCGCATCGCTGTTTGCAAGGTTATCTGCGAAACGCGGCCGAATCAAGGGTTGGCTCAAACTTCGGACCCGGATTGCCACTCCCAAGTAACGTAAAACGCCCATGGTGCAAGGCATTGTGCAAGGGAATGCTATTATAAATTCGCTCACGCCTTCCATCACCCAGACTATTTTCGTCACCCAGAAACCCAGCTACCACCTCAGCCACCCAATTTGCGATGGAGGGCCAACCGCTCCAGCAAGCAACGCCAGAGAATGCAGCCAGCGACAGAGTCCCGCCGCTGAATCGCCCTCAGCTTGCACAAATCAGCGAGTTTTGGAAACGCTATGACCGCGTAGCAGACATTTGTGACAGAAAACTGACTTCCAACCTTAACGCAAACCTGGACGTTCTCCTTATCTTTGTAAGTCCACGCCATAGCTCATAGTTAACTTAGCCCCGTTCTCAACACCAACGGATGTAGGCCGCTCTATTTTCCGCTATCAATACCACATTCATATCCATCACAATGCCAAACCTTTCTTCCAATCCATCGGATGAAACAAACAATCTTCTACGCCTTCTTGTGATGAAGGCAGACAACAACACTCTCTCACCCGCCGATTTGGCCCCAACCTTCTCTCCGGATTCCACATCCGTCGTTGTCAATTGCTTGCTCTATGGCAGTTTAAGCTGTAGTCTGCTTGCGGCTGTGGGTGCGATGATGGCCAAAGAATGGCTTCAAAGCTTCGACAGGAGTGGGCACACCGGGGCGTTGGAGGATCAAGGCAGATTCCGACAACGCAAGTACAACGGACTCGAGCGGTGGAATTTGGAAGCCGTTGTCAAGTCCCTACCTTGCGTCCTCCTATTATCCGTGACTCTCTTCTTAGTCGGCATAAGCCTTTTCCTTTTCCCTATCAACACAGCCGTTGCAGGAATTGTCATCGCACTCTCAGGTCTTGGAGGTGTTCTTTTCAGCACTACCATAGTGGCTGGAGCCATCTCTCCCCTATGTCCGTATCAGTCGTCCGCATCGGGGGCGTTGCGTTCCATTTCAGCCCCATTGATCCGAAACGGGGAACGGGCCATCTTCCTACTAAGAAGCACCTTGGTGGTTATTAGAGGGCTTCTGATACTATTCGCGAGGCTGTTCGATTGTTTGGGCAGTTGGATACAGGTCATCATGCTGGTAGGTATTTACTTCTCCGCCGTAATCTTGATCGTCGGTGTCCGACTTCTCCGACGCCATTCCCATATCGTTTTAGCACGATTTATCATTGCCGGCTCAATTATTTGGGTCGCCATGTCCACTTGCATTTACGTGTATTCCCGTTACTCGCCTCTCCCGCGGTATCGTGATCACTACCGCCGGCGATATCTCCCTGGACAACGGGAGCTCTGGCGGAAGGTCTCATCTAAGGTATCTTGGCTGGTTACGACCTCTTCAGGAGGATGTCGGCTGGTAGCGGGAGCTTTCATAAGCCTCATCCACAGCCTGCGTTCGATCCCCGTTGAAAATTTCTATCAGGATCCGCTGGGATCCAGCCCCAGACAACGATATAATAACAACCAGAGGGTCTTGGATCGTTCCCCGACGGTACTTCCCCCGACTTATTTATTCATAGCAGCGATGCAAGACGCCGATGTCCAAAGAACCGATGACCCCACGAAGCTTGAAGCCGACGCAATCGTAGCCGCACAAGCAGCATTCTGGCTCCTAACAACAACATCCAATCGTGAAGACGCAATATCCGCGGCTCAATTTATACTCACAACTCGTACACAGGCGTGTGCGGTGGCATTTGAAGGCTCTAGAGCCTGGCAGGGAATTGCACCTTGGGCTTGCGACGCCTTTAACATCTGGCAGTCCCAGCCCAGTGAGGCAGGTCAAGAAGCAGTCGAGATTTTAGGATTGACACTATGCCACGTCGCCGCCCAATCCTCTGAAGTGTTTGTCCATAGGAACGACCAACCGAACCCGCGAGAGCATCGGGAGATCGGGAGAGCCCCGTCCCACTTGCGGTCCGACACGGGGATGGAATTGTCTGTTCCAGCCCATCAGCGAGCCCAGAATCCCGCTCGACTCGATCCGAGTGGGAGAAGATCCTCGCTTCCTTCCCAGCGCCCTCAAGTGCTCGAGGCGTATCTTCAAGAAAATCCCAGACGCGCTCGTGTGAGGAAATCGGACAGTTTTGGGCAAACGTTTTTGCAAGCACTCGAGCTCGCCCGTATCGCGTATTCAACTGGTGAACCTGATTCTGAGGAGTATGTCGTGCGCATCGCGTTTATTATGACCATGATCACGCGAGGTTCAGCGTTACACAACTACCGATGGACAAGACCTCTGCAACTGCTATCTACTGGCAAGCCTAGCAATGCAGCAGATGCACTTTTGGAGTTATGGGCAATTGCGATTGAGCGCAGCAATCTCCAATACACGTTCTGGATTCAAAGTTCTACTTTGATAGGGCTTTTGAGATTGGGAGACAGTATGGGTAAGTGTGATCTTGGTCATTAAGTACGCGCCGTCCGTATGACTAATAGTCCGACTCCAAAGCTCGACATTTGCAGAACATCTATCGGATGCTATTTGCCTAAGCCATGACCGTCTGTGGTCAGCTCATGGCGACTTGCGGTTCGAGCTTAATATCCAGCAAGGGTACATTGCATGCTTGCGGAGAACCGCACAACTCGCTCCGGATATTCCGCTAACAGTCCAGCGCAAAACGGTTCGGGGTATCGAAGAATTGATACGAAGCTATATTGACCCCTTGATAGCTTCCGAGTCGGGAGGAAATAGCTCAGAGTTCATCCGACTTTCTTCAGAGGCAGTGGTCTGCCTGCATACCCTCAGTAGGCAAATCCGTGGCTCAACTAAACCATTCATTCTCAGAGACTCAGGTTCTGAGCTCCTTATTGGGCATTTATGGATTGACGCAGTTGTCGATATATTGCTCAAGGACCGGAAGCGTGTCGGCCTTCGATGGACCGCGCTTTATCACCCCGAAGACCCTACGACGTCGGTTGGACCCAGCCTCATTAGGATTCTTCTATGGGCATATAAACGTATGCGTGGAAGCCAAATAAGTGGCACGAATAAACAGCAAATATTTGAGTCAAGTTGGCGGCTTTGGACACCGTTGGCAAAAGAAGTAGCGTCCTCAAAGACGAGGGGCCTTGGAGAATCTGTTGGATCCTTCTCACCGAAAGATCTAGACGGAATAACCGAATTCGCCCAAGACATCATCCAAAGTCATAAGAAATCTGCATTCATCGCCCGGAATGCCGACGTTGGCATCAATCGCCTGTATGCTCATTTCGGCCGATGGGCAGACTGGGAATACGAGCTTTTCGATATGAGCGAGCAGCATGCCGCATTGTGTTCGCGGGTATCTTACGTAGAAAGCGGGTTGATGTAGCAGCTATTTGTACATTTGCCGCGTGCAGAAGAGTAGCTAAAATGGTAGGACTTGTAGCATAAAAAATGAGATTGGGCCCTATTGCGTTAAGTACTTGTCAAAGCCTTCGATTACTACCTAGGTTTAGTGTTCCCGCAAGTTCGCTAGTGGCCCATATATATACCGTCTTCAGCTTTAGCTCTTCCTCATGGTCTGACGCAGGCTATAACACCGCGACCACCTTCATCCACGTCCCCCCTCGTCCACTTCATACACCGCGGACGAAATATATGACCAGCTAAGCCACCGACTGTCTTACCTATCTGTGGCCTTCGCTTTCACTGTCCTCATCGTTAGGGTCACCCGCCTATAACCGGAGGAGCACTCCCCTAGTTCCGACGGTTATTCCTATTGCCGCAAACTTTGCGGAGGTAGGATACTGTCTTCCCAACGTGCCAAAAATTGCCAAACAAACGAAACAGACATCTCAATGAGAGTGTCCGCTGCGAAGTTCTCGGCAAGACGATGAATTAACGCACTTCATCTAACCCGTATCTACCGCGGAAGTGATGTACGCCAGGCACTGCTCCCCACGCTAGGATCTTCGCCGACCGAGAATTTAGCAAAACAAGACTAAAAGACTACGCCGTTCGGGAATCGAACCCGACCCGCATGCTATATAGGGTATGGAAGGCATGCATGCTAACCGATACACCAACGACGTGCCGACAAGCTTGATTAAGTAATGCCCCTTCATAATATCC